CAATAAAATTTTCCCTCAGTTCGTTCCGCATCGCGTGAACCTCCATTCTCATTCTCTCGCCTCGTCCTCCGCATGCCGTTCACTGAAGCCTGACTCCCATCCGATCTACCTTCGTGTTCGTGGTTGCGATTTCCCAGCATTCGCATGATTTCTTGAAGATCCTGTCGAATAGCCACCGAGTCTTGTCTTATCGCCACGTTTTCCGCCTTCAATCCATCTACTGCAATCTCTATAGCTTCGAGCTGGCTCTCCACCACGTTTAGGCGTCCTTCGTTTCTTCCCTCCATTACTCCGATCTCTCTTCCTTGGATCCGGCAGGTCGGACCACTCTGTTAGGAATCCGATAATAGGATCCTAATCGTATCTCTCGGTCACTATAACGCACACTCACTCAACAGAAAGAATCAAATAATGGATATTTTATTCTGTGAAATGAATAAGGAGAAACACGTGTAAGATGAGGGCATAACCCCTCTCACCAGGTGTTGCCACCGGTCTATACAAAGTATATGATTTTTCTCTCTGTCTAATCACAATAAAAAGTGTTATTCCTTATATACCCATACTACCCGCCCTATTTCTCACCGCTTAACCGCTAAGGCAGTTAGGCCTTCTTTTTCTTCCTTCTTTCATAAACTATCAGTTAGGTCCTATGTTAAAGTCCATCACCCATTATTGAACAGAATTAATACAAACAAAAAAAATTCAGAGGTTACCTGAATAAAATGACGCCATAGTGTTCTGTGGAAAGCGAATTCTTCATTAAGCTATTTAGATTTAAACCCTTTTTAATTGTTCTCTGTTTTTCTTGGCCTTATTCTATCTCTAATGGTTAAATTAGTCTTTGTTTGATCTACTTTTCAACATATGATCAAGCAACAACATTTTGCTTCTTGCTTTTCTAAGAGATAACATTTTCTCTGAACAACACGCAATATCCTGTCTCAAAGCATCTATCCATAGGAGAACCAACAAAAACGTCACAATAGCCAATAATTTGGGTATTCCATCTTCATAAACTAGTGATACCAAGTTGAGAAAGATACATAGGAATATTAGAATGAATTTGAGAGAGTGCATTCCTCTCTCTTAGGATTTCATATTTATAATAACTTGGGATATATATTATAAGTTACAATCTATGAGAGTGAAAAAAAGATAATTCGAAAAGATACATTTAGGAACTAGGTCTAGCACAAAGCACATAGCACCTTACGAGAAGTCCTATTGAAGACCATCTGATCTAACATGGAAAAAAAAATTAAAAGTACAATACAAGGAATAGCTAACACTCAATTCTTAGGCTAGGTACATACACCAAAAAAGCAGCTTTATGAAAGCTGTAGAATAAAGTAATAATCACAATTTTAACACTCAAACTACAACATATAAATTGTTTGCACCAAACATGGAACAACATNCCAATAACCAGCGCTCCCTTCCATGCTGACATATGCGACTCTGACCTTCTCCTCCTCCGTCACTCCTTGTAGCTCAAAGAAACGCTCCGCTCGGTTGATCCAGTTCAGAGGATCCACTCCCTTAAATACGGGAAGCTCTACCTTCTTCCTCCAATAAAATTTTCCCTCAGTTCGTTCCGCATCGCGTGAACCTCCATTCTCATTCTCTCGCCTCGTCCTCCGCATGCCGTTCACTGAAGCCTGACTCCCATCCGATCTACCTTCGTGTTCGTGGTTGCGATTTCCCAGCATTCGCATGATTTCTTGAAGATCCTGTCGAATAGCCACCGAGTCTTGTCTTATCGCCACGTTTTCCGCCTTCAATCCATCTACTGCAATCTCTATAGCTTCGAGCTGGCTCTCCACCACGTTTAGGCGTCCTTCGTTTCTTCCCTCCATTACTCCGATCTCTCTTCCTTGGATCCGGCAGGTCGGACCACTCTGTTAGGAATCCGATAATAGGATCCTAATCGTATCTCTCGGTCACTATAACGCACACTCACTCAACAGAAAGAATCAAATAATGGATATTTTATTTTGTGAAATGAATAAGGAGAAACACGTGTAAGATGAGGGCATAACCCCTCTCACCAGGTGTTGCCACCGGTCTATACAAAGTATATGATTTTTCTCTCTGTCTAATCACAATAAAAAGTGTTATTCCTTATATACCCATACTACCCGCCCTATTTCTCACCGCTTAACCGCTAAGGCAGTTAGGCCTTCTTTTTCTTCCTTCTTTCATAAACTATCAGTTAGGTCCTATGTTAAAGTCCATCACCCATTATTGAACAGAATTAATACAAACAAAAAAAATTCAGAGGTTACCTGAATAAAATGACGCCATAGTGTTCTGTGGAAAGCGAATTCTTCATTAAGCTATTTAGATTTAAACCCTTTTTAATTGTTCTCTGTTTTTCTTGGCCTTATTCTATCTCTAATGGTTAAATTAGTCTTTGTTTGATCTACTTTTCAACATATGATCAAGCAACAACATTTTGCTTCTTGCTTTTCTAAGAGATAACATTTTCTCTGAACAACACGCAATATCCTGTCTCAAAGCATCTATCCATAGGAGAACCAACAAAAACGTCACAATAGCCAATAATTTGGGTATTCCATCTTCATAAACTAGTGATACCAAGTTGAGAAAGATACATAGGAATATTAGAATGAATTTGAGAGAGTGCATTCCTCTCTCTTAGGATTTCATATTTATAATAACTTGGGATATATATTATAAGTTACAATCTATGAGAGTGAAAAAAAGATAATTCGAAAAGATACATTTAGGAACTAGGTCTAGCACAAAGCACATAGCACCTTACGAGAAGTCCTATTGAAGACCATCTGATCTAACATGGAAAAAAAAATTAAAAGTACAATACAAGGAATAGCTAACACTCAATTCTTAGGCTAGGTACATACACCAAAAAAGCAGCTTTATGAAAGCTGTAGAATAAAGTAATAATCACAATTTTAACACTCAAACTACAACATATAAATTGTTTGCACCAAACATGGAACAACATTTTGGCAAAATGACTATCAATTTCTATATATTTACTTCTCTCATTAAATATTGGATTGGAAATAATATGAAGGGTTGCCAGATGATCATAGTACAACTTGATCTGCTCAACTTCACAAAAAATTCAATTCTTGAAGGTTGCTTAATGCACTCAAGTTTGGCCAAAGCCATACATGTACTATCTTAAATCAAAGGGACAAATGATCCGAAGTCGGTAAAAGATAAAGAAAAAGGTGAAACACTTTAGATTTAAGAAGGACAACACTTTTTCTAGAAAAATTGTCATATGACTAGTAAGATTGAAACTTCTATTCAACCATGTTCTTGGTGGCACATATAAATGAGCATCACCCTTGTCATCGAATGAGTTAACATAGTATATGGCATTCTTGAATGCAATAGTATTTAATGTTTTACCATCCCCCAACCGCTCCAAAATGGAGACAATGTGCAGACTTGGCTTTGCTACATTATGCTCACACGATTTGCTATCACCATCACTATTAACTTTGCACTGGATCAAACAAATTCTTTCCCTATTATTGAAGATCTTATACCAACTAGAGATATGACCAAATTATAGTATATAAGTGGGTGCAAAATCATCTTATAAACTGATTTTTTAAGGTTGAGTTAGACTTGAAGTTCACTTTCTAAGATGATATCAAAGCTAAACCTGGTGAGGTCTGTTGGACCTATCATGAAATTAAACTTTAAGTCTAATTCAAAATCACAAAATCGGTTTGTAAGGTGAAGTTTATATCCCAGTGTTGGACTTTGACTTTCACTTGGATCTAACAATCACTTATTTGGTTCTTTCGAGGAGAGATTCCAAAGAGATTTGATTCCAAAGAATCATAAGCACACCCATATAAGATACCATGACACTACTTTCAACTCAAAATTTTAAGTCCATAGGTTCTTTCTCTTTGTATGTTGCTCATCTTATTTCTACCTAATGTCGGACCCTCGCCCTTGAGTGCTACCTTTACATATTGGCACCTCTAGTTGAAGCACCTTATTTTTATCTTAACTAAGTACCTAAGTGGTGACTCCTATTTGTATGTGCTATCTTTTACCACAACAGGGACATAGTTGTTTGAAATCCTTGCCACAAAAACTTATGGTACAAGGAATTCACAAACTTAGGAATCATCATCTATTCTATCATTTTGATCCGAGTTGGTCACTAACACGAAATAATGACTCTAATACCATCTTATAGAAGTGTACTTAAGCCTAACTCAACCTAAAAAATTGGCTTGTGAGGTGGGGTTTACATTCAATTATAGATTAGAATTTGACCATATCTTTAGATGATGTTAGACAACAAAATAATAATCACAATTACAATTTCTCCTTTATTGTAAAATAATAATCACAATTACATTTTCTCCTTTACAATTAAATCCAAAGGTTTATACATTTGAAGACTAAAAACCTTTTATATGTTTGTCCCTAAAAACGTTCATCATTCTCTTTTCCCATTGATTCAAAGCTTGAATAATTGCAAGGCTAACTTTTCTTTAAATTGAGTGAATTTGGGTAGGTAGAGATGTGAAAGTAAACAGGGTTAGTGGGGCTTACAAAAGTCTTGAGTGTGTGAGAGTTGGGGAGATTTTTTCAAATGTTCATGCTATTGCTCAATAGGATTTTGCTGGCCTCTCTTCAATAACCTAAGGCTCCTTTTAAGTTTATTTGGACGATGGACATAATTAATCGCAAAGTTCATAGGCCATGCAGCTCTATGTAGACATGATTTGACAGACTAACAATAACCACTGTACTTTGACATGTGAAAAAAAAAACAGACCTCCAATTTTAATATCTAGAAATGGATGGGACTTGGAACATTGAATTGGATGTCAGACTTCCATTTGTTTTGTTTGATCATGCATCTTTCTTCTCTGGTGGATATTGGCTCCTTCTATAAATTTTTAAATCCACTAGTGTCAATCTCCAAATATACTTATTTAGTGTATTTGACTATTTAAATTGTTCTTATGTAGGCATTTGAGTATAAAAGGCTTTTGCTGGACTACAATAGGGAGGTTCGGCGGGCCACTCATGATACCATGACCGCTCTTGTTACTTCTGTTGGGTAAGAACTTTTCTGACCGACATTTATATGATGTTCTTTTTGCTTTTTCTCAAATGTACAATTTAATATATGAAAATGGAAATTTGAATGTGTTGCTTCTTTTTCTGCAAACTTATATGGATACTTGTCGGACAATAGCACATAAGACCTTAAATGCTTTGGGATATTGACATACTGTTTTCTATTACAGCATGTTTACGGTCCATACTAGTTATAATTATTCCATTTCAATTATCTGATTGGTTATATCTTCTATGTTACTTGCAACAATAGTTTATGGGGAACCCAAACATCTTGACAATGGCCTCAACATTTAAGTCTACCTGTCTGCTGCAAACTGCATTTCTACTAGTTTTCTAAAATTCACATTTTTTTAGTGGAGATTGAATATTAGCTATGTACTTGTGTAATTGATCCAAACTTTGATGATTCTCTGTTGAGAACTTATTTAATGCAGTACAAGATTTATAGTTGATTTCCCTTCTCACATCCTTCTCAGGAGAGATTTAGCTCTGCATTTGAAGACTTTGATGGGACCATGGTGGTTTGCTCAATTTGATCCAGTTTCTGAAGTTTCTCAGGCAGCAAAAAGGTCTTTCCAGGTTTGCTATATTTGTTATCGCAACTTACAGTTGTGTTCTAAATTATTTCTTTCATGATGACGAACAAAGTCATCTTAAAGTATAGTAAACTTGTTTATAATTTGATGCTCCATACATCTATATGTTTTCAACCTGCCAGGAACACAAATGATCAGTTCTGGAATCTTACTGTAATATTATGCATAGGAAGTACATGTCTTGCCGTTGTTTCTTATCTACAAGTATCCACTTTAATTTGTAATAATTTTTTTATGGAATGGAAGAGAGGTTTATGAAGGAAAATGTTTATCTGGAATTTGTATTTTAGTATTATAAAGAGTTGGTTCATTGAAAATTTTCAAGATAATTGGTAAGTTCATAGACACGGTTCTTCAAATATTTTAGTGGTGTGGCTAGACCAAGATGCAATTATTAGTTTTATTTATATCTTAGAGGTCCCGGTGGTTTCTTTGTTCTTTTGAAAATCTTTCTTGTAAGCTGGGAGTAGGTTAAAATATTCTGGCAAAAGTTTTTTAGATAGTAGTGCCATATCCTTTCCTGTATAGATGTATCCTCTTTTAATGCATAAGAAGTATATAGTTGCTGTTGTCCTGGGTGTGGGAGGGAGTGTTGAAACCCCCCCTAATTGTAGTCACCCTTAGTCTGCCATAGTGGCAACTTCTTTGGTTAAAACAGTTCCTTTGGGGACTGCTTTACTTGCATCTTCAGAGGTAGTGGGTTTCTCCTACATCATCTAAATTTCTTACAAGTTTGTTTTGTGGGGTTGAGAGATAATCCTAAATTCTAAGAAATCCTAGTTGGGCTGGGTATAACTAGACTTATGCTATATGTGATTTGGTAGGAATCCTTCAAACCTAATCCACAATCAAGCCTGGCTTCAATTGGTATCTTTAGCTATTGTATCAGTTTGTAATGTCAGGATAAGGATGATCCACCTGATAATTTCTTTTCACGCTCAAAAAATGATGGGAAGTTTTTCTAAGTTACTTTGAATGAAATGTTCAATGTAATTTGTGTAGAATTGATTATCATGGGAAATATTTCTTAAAGTCTTGAGTATATATTTTTCTTATGCATACCCTTAAGTTCAAGTCATGCTTGCATGTTCCATGCTGAAATTGATGGCCCAACTTTGTTTAAAATCTTTTTAAAAAGTGATACAATGAGAATTTACGTGAAAGGAACATGAAGGGCGTTGATATGCTTAAACTGAAAACTGAAATATGTAAGCCTTTGTTTTGAAGTATCTTTAAAATGTACATGGATGTCAGAATGCATTCAGTTTTAATTGCAGGTTTGTTGTCTTTAATATGTTCAATTCAGTAACTTGTAATTTGTAGGGTTTTTGGTCTAACTAGGTATATTCTGCACAGCAGATTTTAAACTTGTACTTTACAACCTTATTACCAAATTTGTGCTGTGTTATTTGTTTTAATCCTTTGTTGGATTGTGACAGGCAGCCTTTCCAGCACAGGAAAAGAGACTTGATGCTTTGATTTTATGCACAACACAAATATTTATGTATTTAGAAGAAAACCTAAAGCTCACACCGCAAAATTTATCTGATAAAGCTGTAGCTACAGATGAGTTAGATGAGATATATCAGCAGGTATATCGTGAGAATCACTTTAACACACTTAGAAATCAAGTCTTTGATTTATTGATTTGCATTGGATCTCCTTTTTAGTGGATTAAGAAAGATATTCTCTACAGTAAAATTTATTGGGTCGATACCTTCTTTTGGTATCACAAACACAACAAACATTTTTTAGTTATTATATGATGTAAGGATTTTAAAATTATGGTATGCTTATTGCATCATGGAAGCTTTTTTTACAAACTGATTATAGGAAGACATCTATTTTTAATTTAGTCATTTAAGCTTTTGCTCAAAGGTGTCAACCTATCTTAGTGGCATACTTTTTTTACTTAAAGTCTAATATTCGTTTGATCTTACAGGTGATATCATCAACGTTGTTAGCATTGGCCACTCTTCTTGATGTTTTAATTTGCTTACAACAAGGACCTGGTTTTGAGAACGTAACTACTGAACCTAAACATGCTTCTAAGGCTAGGGTGGCTGCTGTTTCTTTTACTGAGAAGCTGTTCAAAGATCATAAATACTTTCATGACTTTTTGAGGTCACAAAGGCCTAGCATTCGATCAGCTACTTATAGTGTATTGAAGAGCTTAATAAAAAATATGCCACAGGCTATTAATGATGGAAATTTAAAAACTGTTGCTGGTGCAATTCTTGGTGCTTTCAATGAGAAGGATCCAACTTGTCATCCCTCAATGTGGGATGTAATATTACTTTTCTCTAGAAAATTCCCAGATGGTTGGTCTTCCTTAAACATTCAAAAAAGCATACTAAATCCATTTTGGAATTTTCTTAGGAATGGTTGTTTTGGTTCCCAGAAGGTTTCATATCCAGCTTTGGTTTTATTTTTAGACAATGTTCCACCTACATCTGTCAGAGGGGATAAGTTTTTTCTTGAATTTTTCAAGAACTTGTGGGCTGGAAGGAGAATTTCTCTATCTACAGATAGACTGGCATTTTTCCAGGCACTGCAAGAATGTTTCCTTTGGTCTTTGAAAAATGCTTCAAGGTACAAAACTTTTTCGTTTTAATTCTTTGGCTGCATTTTGCGGATCTATTTACAACATGTCAATATGCCCCTCACCCACCAAAGAAAATATTTAGCTTTCCTTGTCCCTTTTTATTATAACCTGTCTTCTGCTTGTATTAGATATAATGATGGAGAAGAGTCAATCTGTCATTTCCGAGTCACTCTTGTTGATCATGTCCTTGTAAAGCTTTTTTGGAAGGATTTCCTTACAGCTGGAACCTCGAGAGCCGATGACATAATCAACGCAGGAAAATCAACAATTTCATCGGAGGAAAATGTTTCTGAAAACGAGAAAGTGGATATGCTGAGTATGAAGTATCCTATGCCCTATTTGCAAGAGTTGGGGAATTGCTTTATTGAAATCCTTTTAGGCATTTATATATTGGATATCAATGTTCTATCTGTTTTTATTGAGGAACTTCAGGTTAATTGCATGGGTGCTCTTGAGCAAGCAGTTAATGTGGACATTGTTGAACGAATCATTTTGTTCATGTTTTTGCTGGAAAAACATGCTGTGCTGAAAGGTGCAATTTGGCCATTGGCCTATATTGTGGGACCAATGTTGGCGAAGTCTTTCTCACTCATTAAATCTTCAGTAAGTTGATATTTCTACAAACTTGTGACTCTGTAATCTATCTTATTCTTGTTTTGTAATTTTAATGATAGGTTGGATAATGAGAAATTGGTATTGACATATCACATATATGTAATGTGGAGTATATACAACATTTTCATCTTAATCAGAATGGAGTTCCTGTTATTACTTGCTCACCTTGTAATATTTTTCTGGCTTAATCATTTATATTTTTATCTATGCTTAGAATCAGTCTCTTTTATACACCGCTTAAACAAATCTGGGTTTGATGGGCTCTATTGTTGCTCTGAAGATTATTTTTAGGTCTTTTAAACAGTAATTGTTTAAATCTAGAGACAAGTGGTATAGTATACAAAGGAGATATTTTTGGGGGCTTTCCAACAAGAGAATAGCTAAGAAACACGTAAAATATAAATAAGTTGTTAGATTTATGCTTCATATAATATATTACATATCTTATTGTAAGTGTAAAAGTTGTTTGACAGCCCCTATTCTAATTGTTACTTACATCAGTTATTACACTAGTGTAACTTACATCAACTATTACACCAATGAATGTGATCTTAATCAATCTAACTGGTGAGTTATAATTTTATATTACATTGATGGTGTTTGTCAAATTTTATGAAAAACAAACAAACAATACGACCTTAATAAAATTCTTCATATTTTAATATATTTTGAAAAGTTCATATTATGTTGATTACATGAAAGGTATCAAATATAAAATATTGCAGATATGATCTACATGAAAGGAACTTCCAGTCCAGGTGGGTTTTTGATAATAAATTGTATTACTAGTTATTGAATGATGTAATAGTTGGTGTAAGTTACACTAGCAACTTATGGGAATCAGTTATGATGCCACTGTTGTTAGCTTATCCTGTTTAGAAATAGGCTTGAAAGTTGCATAGGGTTACAATAATGTTAAATTTAATAAGCATCAAATGATTACTTTAGATGTGAATGATATTTTCTACCATGTTTTTCCAGACTCACCCTGTTTTTTAAATATCAGGATTCACCAGATACTGTGAGACTTCTGTCAGTTGCTATTTCAGTATTTGGACCACAAATGATTGTCCAAGAAGTTTTTATTAAAAACAAAGGGCATTACTCTAGTCAGGTTTCGTGTAATGGGGATAAATTAGGGGAAGCTGAAGACTTTATGCAAATATTCAAGAATATATTTGTTCCTTGGTGCCTGCAATCAAATAGTTGCTCAACCAGTGCTCTGCTAGATTTGTTGTTGGCACTGCTGGATGATGAGTATTTCTCAGAACAATGGTCCTTCATCGTCAACTATGTGATTGGCCAAAGTTATTCTGAGTTTGAATCAAGGTTATTAGATGCTGACCATGCGGCAATATTGGCTATGCTCCTAGAAAAAGCAAGGGATGGGAGAATGAAGAGGAAAGTGAAAGATGATTCCAGTCATAGTCCAGGCAGCAATGCCAAAGATTGGCATCATCAATATCTCGAATCATCTGCTATTGCTGTTTCTCAATCCCTGCCGCCCTTCAGCACTTCTCATGTGCAGTTTATATGGTATGTTAATTCAACATTTCAGCGGCAAGATGAAGTAATAGCACACATTATTTATTTATTCACCTGTCAAGAACTATACATGTCAATAATATAATTGCTATAGTCTTCTCTTTTCTTTTTTTATTTTAAATCCAAAGTTCTAGTTATCTTCCTCTATTTTGGTCTTTGATCCCATTTCTTGCATTAAACAGATTAGTAATTTTCAAAATTGGATATATCAAGCAAAAATGGAAATAGGGTAAATTAATTATAGAAATGTATATTTACTGAATTTATTGTGTGTCTAATGCAGATCACACACAGTATGTATTTATACTAATTTTCTGAATCAATTATAATAAATATCAACCTAATAATTAGGAATCAATCATCCTAATTTTCTAGAATATGTAACTGTTAATTTCTTACAAATCTGTAACAGCGGATTACATTCTAACATTAATCAATGGATCCATAAATTACATTAGAATTTTTAAGTAAGTCCTTGTACTCTAAAAGATAATGTTTAGGTTTCTGGGCTAGGTTTCTGTTGATGTTGGAAAGGATACTCTTGACCCCTTTTCAGATGTAGAGACCTGTTTGAAAATTTCTGAACAGTTTTGGACCTACTGAATATTAAACTAGAAATTTGATCTTTGAACTATTTGGGAATTTTCAAGAGCATCCTTGTACTTTAACAAGGATCGAGATTATTTTGTCTAACTTTGACGAAATCCCAGCTCAGGCATCCAATTAAAAATAATTTATAAGTCCAAGAACCCTATTTAAAATTCTCTTATAGTTTGGAAACTAACATTCATTTTAGCAAGGAGGGGGTGGGGGGTAGTAATGGGTGTGAAATGGAATGCATCAATTGGTGACAAGTGGTTCTAATTGTTTTGATTGTGTCAATGCATGCATGCCATGAATATGTTTGTACATAATTTTGTCTCATAACAGAATTGAATGGACTGAGTCTGATGCTACATTGTCTCTTGTTAAAAAGGATTTTTGTGGTGGTTAGATTTTGATGACAGCCTATCTTTTCCAATCTGACAAATGCTAATGCAGAGAGTCCACTTTAAACATCATCATGTCTATGAACCTGCAACTAATTATGCAAGATATTGGAAAGTGGATAGTTTCTGTAGTTTATGATGTTTGAAAGTTGACATGGATAATATGAATCTGAAGCCATCAAGGCTTATGGGGAAAAAAAGGCATGTGTAGCTGGTATAATAGACTGATATACAATGTTGAATAGATATAAATATTTTGAACCTGTTCCACAGAAATAAAGGATAGACTTGATTAATTTTTGTTTGGAGGTTCTTTTTGTAATTTGTTATATGGGTTTGGTTTGCCCCCTCCCCCACATACATTTTTTGTTTTTTTTTTCTTTTAATAAATTTATTGATGTGAAGGCATCATGCCTAGCATGAATTTATAAAAAGTTGCTTAAACTTCACTCTGATCTTATGTTCTTTACTTGCAGCTCTCTTCTCGGTGGTTTAACAGAAGAAAAATCTTCTTTTTTGTCAAGAAATGCTTTGATTCTCATTTATGAAGAGATTTTCAGGAAGTTACTATGTTTTCTCCAGGCTTCACCTTTCTTTTGGGTACAGAATGCAGCTTCTGTTTTAATCAATGATGAAAAAATCCCTGTAGAATTTGATAGTTCTCTCAACATTGTTGAGATAGCTCAATTTTCTCTTGAGATACTTGATGGTAGTTTCTATAGCCTGAAGACTCTTGATGGGGAAAGTGGACTTGTATCTGGAATTTTATCTGCAATTTTTGTCATTGAATGGGAGTGTAATTTAAGCAAAGCACTAGGTTATTCACTTGATGACAATTCAATGATACAAATCAAGCCCAGGATAACATTTGGTGAATTAGTGTGTGCTTTCCATAACAAGATAAATGTTCAATTTTTGAAAAGCCTTTGCTCAGATAGCCGCAAGAGATTGTCAAATATCTTAGTTCAGTCAACAAGGTTAGCGCTATTTGCCGAAGACAGACTTATTAATGATGAAATTGTATCGTTATGCTGTACATGGGTTCTTGAAGTTCTTGAGCATGTCTGTGTGGATGAAAATGAAGAACAAAGTCTGCTACAATATCTACTGAGTAAGGATGAAATGTGGCCTGCGTTTGTTACTCCAAATTTTAGCTTGACAAAGGTATTGACATGTTTATGTGTTCATCTTTCATTTTTGAAATGTACTATTGCTTACTAAGTAAAATGGAATCATTCATGTTATTTATTTTGACATACATACTGGAAACAAATTTCTTGTAAAACTACATCGATGTGAATATAGGGTGTTTCAATATATTTCTTCAAAAACACTTCTAGAAATGGAAAATAAGAAGGAACATGAAATAAGTTTCTCTACTACGAGCTAAAATTAGCTCATGCATAAACTAAAAGTCATGTTTTAGAAAAGCTAATATGGGGGAGTTTCTCCAAATTAATTTATGCATACGTTAATTTTAGTTTATGGAGAAAACTCTTTCCATTTTTTTTATATTTCTTCTAGTAGTTCTTATAGAGAAATTTATTCATACGTATCCTTAGCTCATTGATCTATTGTTGGCTTCAACAAATAATAGCCAACAAGACTCCTTTGGAGTTTATTGACTCAGTATGTAGTTAGTATTTCTGCTATTTTATTTTTTTGAACGCTCAGAACAAATTTTAGTGCCTTCAGACAGTGGTTTATGATAAAGCTAGTTATGGCTTCTAGGAAATAAAACATTCTGCATAATATATAGAGAAAATTATGTGCTACTTTAACCACTAGTTTATACTGAATGCAGGCTTCTGGAGACAAGAAGTTTGTTGCTTTAATTGACAAGTTAATATCAAAAATAGGGATTGATAGAGTTATTTCTGGGTGTGGTGTTCTTAATCCATCTTTGCTTGGAAAAGGTCAAGAGCTTGCATCTTCTGCATGGTTAGGTGCTGAAATCCTGTGCACGTGGAGATGGCCTGGAAGCTGTGCCATGTCTTCTTTCTTACCTTCATTCTGTGCTTATGCCAAGGGCAATAATTATGTCCAGGAAGGCCTGTTAGATGAAACATTGAGAATTTTGCTTGATGGTTCCCTTGTTTATGGAGGCACTGGCACAAAGAGTTCCGTTAGTATGTGGCCAGTTCCAGCTGATGAAATGGAAGGTGTTGAAGAACCATTCTTAAGAGCACTTGTTTCGTTTCTCTCTGCTTTATTCAAAGAGAAAATATGGGGCCCAGCAAAGGCATCCAGTCTGATAGAACTTTTTGTGAATAAACTCTTTATTGGGGAAGCAGTTAATACTAATTGTCTTAAGATTCTACCTTTGCTTATAAATATACTTCTAGAACCATTTTATGGGTATGAGGAACCTGGTACTGGTGTCCATCATTGTTCTTTAGAAGAAAGATTCGTGCAAAATACTATGATAGACTGGCTGGAGAGGGCACTAAGTCTTCCACCTTTGGTCACATGGAAAACAGGAGAAGGTAAACTTCCCTTTCTCAGATAAAAACACTGATAATTCACCAGTTTGTTCTGAAAATGCATTTTTATCAGTATGGATAGAGATTCCATTAAAATTATGTATTTTTTGTGTACTTTAAGATGATTGTGTATATGGGTGTGTGCTTTTTTCTTTATAGTGTTAATTGTTCACTTTGTTCAAATGAAACTGTTACCATGAAAAATTTCCATCCAAAAAATCTCGGGATGAATAATGTTGGTATTAATGAAATTGCTCGTTATTCTTGTAGACATGGAAGATTGGCTTCAGTTGGTTATTGCCTGTTATCCCTTCATCTCAGTGTCTGGTCCACAAGCATTGAAGCCAGCGAGAAGTATCAGCTCTGATGAGAGGAAGCTTCTCTATAAATTATTCCAGAAGCAAAGACATGTTGCTGGTGGATCAGCTATATTTAATCAGCTTACAGTGGTGCAGATGCTTCTATCAAAACTTATGATTGTTTCTGTAGGATATTGCTGGAATGAATTCTGTAAAGAAGATTGGGACTTTTTATTGTCTAACCTAAGGTGTTGGATTCAATCAGCAGTTGTCATGATGGAGGATATAACTGAAAATATAAATGGTGTTGTTGATAGCTCAGCTGATAATTTAAATCTGATGAGTCAGAAAATTGAGCAAATTATTTTAATTTCAGATCCTTTTCCAATAAAGATTTGTGAAAATGCCCTTTTCTCTTTTTTGCTTCTCCTTAAGCATTGTAAACTTCAACAAGATGAAGAGAGAGATAATCTAAGTACATTTAAATCAGAAAATTTGGATTCTGTTAAAGATCGAATTCTAGAGGGTGTCCTCCGCCTACTATTTTGTACTGGAATTTCTGAGGCTATTGCATCTGCTTGCTGTAAAGAAGCTGCCTTAGTTGTTGCATCATCACGGGTTGAATATACACACTTCTGGAATTTGGTATCTTTTGGGGTTGTTAATTCCTCTTCACAATGTAGAGATAAAGCAGTGAAGTCAGTTGAATTTTTGGGACTAAGGAAAGGGTCTATTAGCTCTTTGTATGCTTTACTTTTTACTTCCAAGCCAATTCCTCCATTGCAGTTTGCTGCATATTTTGTTCTTTCAAATGAGCCTGTTTTAAGCATTGCCATCCTTGAAGATAATGCTTGCAACTCAAACGTATATGCTGCTACTGACGTTGATGTCAGGGGGCATGACATGTCAATAGAAGAAAAGGTCCATCTGAAAAAGGAAATATCTGTCATGGTAGAAAGGGCACCTTTTGAGGTTCTTGGAACGGAGTCTCTTTCACATCAACGCGTAAGAATGCTTTATATTATATGGGAATGTAATTGAACTATGCTTCATAAACATTATATGGGAATGTAATTGAACTATGCTTCATAAACATTTTCTAATGTTTATTTACTCATTTACTTTACCGTTTCATTGATGGTACTAATGATCTACAAAATACATTGCAGGTAAATCTCTTCCTTGCTTGGTCTTTGTTGTTATCACATCTACAGTCATTATCTTCCTCGTCTCAAAGGGAGAGACTGATCCAGTACATACAAGACTCTGCTACTCCAGTTGTTTTGGATTGCCTTTTTCAGCATATTCCTGTAGAGACTTTCACAGTTCAGAGTCTAAAGAAGAAAGATGCAGAGCTCTCTGGTGGTTTGTCGGAAGCTGCAAGTGCTGCAACCCGTGCCACCACAACTGGTTCACTCTTGTTTGCTGTGGAATCTCTTTGGCCTGTTCAATCGGAGAAAATTTCATCACTTGCTGGTGCAATATATGGTTTAATGCTCCAGGTTCTTCCAGCTTATGTACGTGGCTGGTTTAGTGATTTACGTGACCGTAACACTTCAGCTGTCATTGAATCCTTTACAAGGACTTGCTGCAGCCCTCCTCTCATTGCAAATGAATTGTCTCAGGTATGATGTAATTTCTTGTCCATGTAAGTAGTTTGCCGTTTGATAAATATTTTCGTGAAATAGCAGAATCTGTTATCCTAGAGTGTGGACATTTTAAGGTCAAGTTGCATGATCGTATCATATTTGTTGAATAGCACAAACTAATTAAACATTTTGCGTGATAATCACATTACTCTTTCCGAACAAAGTTATATTAATAGATACACTAATATGTATGCTTGTTCTAAACTTTTAACCTTGATTGTAAGTACTATTACAAATCTGATGATTCAAGGGTGGCATTAACAAGGATTCTACTAGAGGTTAACTGGGGGAAGGTTTAGAGCATAAATTTCAGCTGTCAATGAGATTTTGTGCTGTAACTGTTGCTTAGAATCCATAGGTCATAGGTCAGAGGATCTATTTTGGTGTGGATCAAATCTCAATGTTCTAAAGTTCTAAACACTTGTTTATGCCACAACCCAGCGGCATTGTTTGGTCCTTGTAGCTAGCCCACCTAGTGGAAAGAGGCTTTGTTTGTTCTTTATTATTGTAACATGCACTAGTTTATATAGGTATAAGCTTAGTTCTATTATATATGCTCACTTATAATCTTCAATGCAGATTAAGAAAGCCGACTTTCGTGATGAGAATTTCTCAGTAAGTGTAAGCAAATCAGCAAATGAGATTGTTGCTACTTACACAAAGGATGAAACGGGAATGGATCTAGTCATTCGTCTCCCTGCATCTTATCCACTAAGGCCAGTAGATGTTGATTGTACAAGGAGCCTTGGAATTGCTGAGACCAAGCAAAGGAAATGGTTGATGTCAATGATGCTATTTGTTCGTAATCAGGTATTTTGTAGTGGGCTTCTGCTGCCCACTTTTGCAAGTTGCTCAGAATTAATCGTGTAGAGTCAAAACTCGTATAACTTACTCTTTTTTGTTTGCCTTGCATGATTAGTTGAAATATAGTTTATTGAGAATTCTTTCCTGTGATCGATTACTTTTTAGTTTATACCAGTCTTGCTGAATAGTATAAACCTTTATGAAATTCAGTGGACAATGGATTAACGTGATAATTAATGATTATCAGAGCAGGTTTGCGCTGAAGTTACTCTTTGTTTGCATTGCATGATTAGTTCAAATATAACAGTTTGCTGAAGTTATTTCCTGTGATTGATTACTTTTTAGTTTTACCAGTGTGAAATTAAGTGCACAATGGATTAATTTGAGAATTAATGATTATCAGAGCAGGTCTGCGCTGAAACTAACTATTATTTCTTCTGGTCCTGCAGAATGGGGCTTTAGCAGAATCTATAGGAATTTGGAAGCGCAATTTCGATAAAGAATTTGAAGGTGTTGAGGAGTGCCCGATCTGTTACAGTGTAATTCACACCGCAGACCACAGTCTTCCTCGTCTTGGTTGCAAGACATGCAAACACAAATTTCATTCTGCTTGTCTTTGTAAATGGTTTTCTACTTCTCACAAATCATCATGCCCACTGTGTCAATCTCCGTTCTATGGTTTACACCTTGAGTAATGAATTCAATTTTACCAATTTTTCTGGCTGGTGATTTCTTGCACTGAAAGTAGTGGATGAGGAGAATGTCTCGACATATGAGAATCAACAGTAATTTCAAGCATTGAGAATCAATGCTCTGATTGAGGCAGGGACAACTTACAAACTACAACAGGTTACCGAAGCAAAAGTGATTTACAGATTCTTTTCTCCACTAAGCTTCTTTTTAGTCACAGCGTTCAACTCGAAATTAATGAGGAAGTTGAACAGTGGTTTTTGCGGCAACAGCATGGGTGTATCATATTTTCCATTAGGAGAGGTGAATCAGATTCCTTTTTCTTTTGTCATATTTATCCTCTCATTGAATTTTGCTTCCCATGGTTGTAATAGTTATTGCTTCGCATTGTTTTTGTTGTTTAGAGGAGGTTAGTTCTGATCAAACAGGTAGTCTGAATCAGAATGGCTTGTACATTTTAGATTATTTGATTGTCATGGAATCACTCATAAAGTAAAGGATCAATATTTGGGAATGAGTGATACTTGATCAATTTAATTGTTTATTAGAATTTAATTTTATAATATCAACTTACAGTGAGAGGGTTGCATTTATGTACACTGTAAATTTTGATCATATATTGTATGAATATATTATTTTAAACTTTGAATGTATTTTTTATTAATTTTTAATTTAAATTATTTAAAATGAACGATACATATTTGAAATTAAGTAAATGAATAAATAAAGGCTTAAATGTTTACTTCGTTCCATGTTAAGAGGTGAATTTTTATTTAATACTCTTTAAAAATGAAGACATTAGGTCTCTATGTTATGAAAAACTGGACAGTAGAAAAGAAAAGAAAAATAGTGCGGTTACATCAGCATGAATTTAACGCTGTTGCTGTCAACTTAGCGGACATAATCTTATTTATACACTTTTTATAACATAACATAGGAACTTAATGTCTTTATTTTTAAAACTGGATACTAAACAGAAATTCACCTAAGCATTTAAGCCATAAATAAACTAAAAAATGTAATTGACTATTTTGTTATTGTGTTAAATAAAGTTAATTAGTAAACATAACAAATTTCATGATTTTTTATTGTTAGAAATATAAAACTGAATTAAAAGTAAAAATAAAAATCATAATTAATTGATGAAAAACATTTATTTATAATAGTATTTTGCGAGTACTTCATCGTGCATAATATTTGTTGAACAAACTTATTGTTAGTTAAACAAATCAAAGAAGTTGATTATTTAATCAAGAAATAATTTAGAAAATAAAACAATTGTTTCTTAAGTGTAAAGTGAAAGTTAAAATGACATTTGTTTCAAATGAAAAGGAGAGTAACTATAAATTTTATCTTATTCTCAAAAACGATTTGGCTAACTGTGTTCCGAATAGTTGGCATACTATGTTAAATGATGTTATATGTTAATTAATTGCACGGTTTTTTACTTTGTATATTGTCCTCGTTGAACCCATTTCCAATCATGAAACCCTATCATAGACCTCAATTTACTACATAGTTTTCCTATAAATAGTTTCTTTTATTTTACATTTTTTTTAAGACTTGTAATATGTTTTGGCTTTGGAATTAAATAAACCTCGTCTAAGAATGTATCAAATCAAACTAGGTTTAATTATGTCAACGGCACGGGTCAGCATTTTTAGTTAACTTCTACAAGGCAATACGCCAAATTTACCTTCTATAGTTGGTGATTATTTAATCAATACTAAAATTATGGTAACAATGCATATACAACACTTGTTCAAATCATATATCAATCAAATATCTCATATAATCGTTTTATATCTTCCTCTCTCTATCGTCGTTTTTAAATAACGAAAGAGAACAATTTAGAAGGAATTCATTGGGAAGACGAGGAAGTGGAATGACAAGATCTCCCTCAGAGGTGACTAAATACTAAGACCACTACGACAAATATCAAGAACTTTTTGCCTACAGTATATCAAAAAGATTGCATGCGTAATTCAGATAAATCAGATAAAAAAAATTAGTGCAAAACTACGAAATACCCAAAGCAATACGACATGTGCATGCAACGTGTAAGGCACCACGAATAAATGCGTAATGTCTTCATTTTTTAGTGGTCTATTCCTTTCGGTATTCACTTTTAATGCTGATGCATACATTTTAATTAGGGTTTTATTTCTTACTATAATCTTATAATTATAAGTGTTGAAAATTTTAAGTATGAGTTTAAGTTTCCTATTAAATAAAAATAAAAAAAAGTTGAGCAAAGAAAAAGACTCACCAATCTATTATGGATTTAACTCTCTTCGCTGTTACAAAACTATTAAAACTAACATATATCGATCAAAAAGAAAAAAAAAAGACTTATCAATTCATTGTTTAATTGGTGTGTGATTAAAAAATTCATGAATGGTATGAAAGTCGTGTGACAATCTCAGAAAAATACAGTATAATCTTAAGTATAGTATAATTTTTATATAAAAAATCTTCCTTATAAATATTGAAACAAAAGTATTCATTGTGATTGATGGCAGAATATAAACCTAAAGGTTGAGTGCCTTAATGCTTGACTTGTGTTTTTGAGAAAGAAACGCCACTAAATGATTTACTAAGTTATCCAAATTATATTGTCAAACGCTCACAACAAGTATACTAAATATGACAATAATTGTGAAGAAGCGAGGATTAAAAGTGAAGATAATGGAGGAAATAATGGCTTTTGCAAGAAAGGAGAATATAATGTGAGCAATTATGGTGGTTTTCTATTGCATCCATTCATGCTTAGGTGGTGTATGTTCTGGTCCAAAATGATCCACTAATGGCAACTTGAATCAAAGTGATTTTTAATCTGAATTATGTGCCTCTGAGATATACTTTTATATTACCACCCCTCGAGGTTCTTCTTCAGACAATACATAACTACTCAATAATTTTCTATGCTTGAGTCAAATAAAACCTAGTCATAACGGAAACAAAAATCAAGAATTCAGTTATTGAAAGTTTTAGGTATGAAAACTAACACAGTCAAAACGAGTAATCCAGCTTGATATGTCCTGACTCATCATGGGTTGATCACTTAGTGACTCAATCCAACTCGGTTAACTTATTAGCAAGTTGAAAAAATTCGAACCCGACTCGACTTACTACGGGTTGGTGGATTAAACAGGTTGACTCAATTAATTATATGTTTTTTTAAAATAAAAAATTATATATTTTTTAATTTAAATCTAAATAAATTTCACTCTAAAATGATATTAAACTACAAAGACAATTAAAAAAAAAATATTATACAAAGCGTAATCCTAAAACAAGCACAAAAGGTGAACAAATAAGTTTTTAATATTGATAATTTTTTATCACTTGTCCATCTATAATATTAGAATATTGAATAGATAAATCTGTAATATTTTTCTTCCTTAAAACATCTTTATTTTATCGCATCTACAATATAATAAAAAAATGCTAACTAATAATATTGAAACACAAAATAATAAATAATTAAATTAAATTAAGTGGGTTGGTAAGTCAACCCGGCTCACCACAGGTTCAACTCGAATGAACTGGATTCTAAGTGAGTCGGGTTGAAAATTAACCTGCATAAAAAAATTATAATTTTTTTAAACTTAGCTCACACATGTGGTGAGTTAGATTAACTCGGATTACAGGCCATTTTGACAGCACTACACATACGTAGCTTAAGCGCTCCTGGTCAAAGAAGTGAAAGAATAACAGGAATATTGAAATAGGTTTCATTCTTTATAGGATCCACTTTCTGAAAATCTCTTCCCTCTTTTGGGGTTTAACATTTCTTGCAACAATTTGATAAACAACCATTTGGGATTGATATAGATATCCCTAGAAACGTATAGGAAGTTTTATCCTCGTACGATTCGAGAATATAAAAAATTCTATGTATTTCAAAAATTATGATGTAAAATAGAGTCATGCTTCTACATAAGTCAATTTTTTTTTGTATTTGAAAAAAGTAAATGAATAATATAATATTATTAAATTTATATATATATATATATATATATATATATATATATATATATATATATATATATATATATATATATATGATTTCCATTTGTATGAGATATATATATTGATCAGATATTAAGTAAAATTATAAGTTCAAAAAGATATAATAGAGTTCATTATTGAAATTAAATATATTAAGGATTTTAAATCCTTTTCAGCGATCTCAAATACTTCTACTTTATATTAGATTATTATGAAGAAGATTAATATGTGCCAATCAATTGCCGAAATCCTAATGAACAATTGCAGAATAACTAAGTTTGATTTTTTTTATTTTTTTTTATAAATATGATTTATAAATTGAAAATGAAAAAAATAGGTTTCATATTATATTAATGTAAGGAGAAGAAATAAGCGTATATGTTGTAAGTAAAGTAGAGGTAAATTATATTATTTATTAGTGTGTCATTTAAGTAGTATTACTAGTAGATTCGTGTGTCTCATACAATTTGATAAAATTTCTAAATGTTATTAGAACAGGTAACTCAACAACGGAAACCTGAATAGTTAGACTCATTTATCTTCAAAATATTAACAACATAGCTAGAAAACATGAAAGAATATACTTTGAAGGTTCATGTTATATATGGTTAGAAAAGACGACATAATTTGTTCTGGAGGTTGATTTGGTGTTGAAAAACTCTTTTCCCCAAAAGGTTGAACAAAAAAATATTAAAGGATTTATCAACAAATTATCAAAAATTTAATTATTGATATAAAAAATTCAATTATTCACAATTTACCAATAAGTTTTCAAATTCAATTATCAATGAATTTATCTCGAATTTAAAAAAATTCATTATCAATAAATTTTATCATCACATGATTAAATTTAAAGTTAAAAATTTAATACTTATTTTATTAATAGAATTTATCAACGAATATTTCTTTTAGTAATATAAATTATATATTATCAACATATTTTATCGATTGATTTATTACTAATGAAAATATCCACCAATAATTAAAATTATAAAATAATTAAAATTATAAAATTTGTTGGTAAAATTTATTGATAAATATTATTTTATTGACAACTTTTTATCTTTAATGATATAGTATTTTCTTGTAGTGATGTTGAAACATGAAGAAAATGGTATGAGCATAAATACAAGTATTCTCATTATCCAATTAGGATGAAACAAATTTTTTATATTTATTAGACATCAGATGGATGAATATCATATAGATGAATATAAATTTTTACTTGAATGAAAATGAGATAATGAAATTCGTCTTCATCCCGCCTTGTTATGTATGAATCAAAATATTTTGAATATCATGTCTTGATTTGATTGAGCTTCTTAAATTGGATTATCTTGATTACTTGTAAAAAAAACACAATCTTTACTAAAAGTGTGATGACTATAATATCATTTTATTTTCCATTTTATCACACTAAAAACAAATTACTTATTCATCATAACTTAATATTATTTATTATGTTCAAAACATATTTTATCAAAATTATGATAGCTAATTAAAAGTATATTATTATGAATAGACTATAAAGATTATATGGTCTAAATATATCATATTATCCAGAT